GCGGGGAGCCGCTTGCCCGTGGCCGTGCGGGGAACCCGCAGCTGCGCAGACGCCCGCGCCGGCCCCCGACTTCGCCGAGCTGCGCGCTACCGCCTGCCCTGCCCGGACCTGGGCAGCAGGCATGGGGCGCCTTCCCGAGGGACGCAGCAAGAAGCGACCGGACACGAAGGCAGATGTTCTCAGACAGTGTTTATTGGCTCCTTAGAAATCAGAGTCACTGTCCGGGGCCGCAGGCTCCCGTCTCACCTGGCCTGGGCTGTCCTTCCCTACCCTCGCCCCATCCATGACCCCAGGGAGAAAAAAGCAGCTTCATGTGGGGTACAGGAGACTCCTCTGGGGTTCACAGTAACCAGAAAAACAAAACAAATAAACACAACGGAAATAAATTAAGTGATACGAGGACGGGAGTAACAGGGAGTCTTGTTCCCCAAATCAGTGCACGAAGAGGGGTACCCAGGGCCTGCAGCTGGGCGCCGCAGGCCCCTCACATAAGAGGGATGATCTGGGCACACACCCCTTCCTCCCTCCGCCATGGAGATGCCCTCCACTTCCCTTGGAGACCCGAGCTCGTCTACATGCTCCTGCAGATTTGCCAGGACTGAGCACCCGTGCATGCCATGGGTCATTGCAATGAGGTGGAGGCAGTCAGTGCCCAGAGTCCGTGGGCCTAGGGCCCTACTGTGCTTGAAGTAGTGGGGGTCTCACCCCTCATTCCACCCGGATCAGCAGGGCACAGAGGAGTGTAGCGCCCTTTTCCTTGGTTACCCACTCCAGTTCAGCTGCACTGAAGTGAGGGTCAGGAGGCTCTTGGAGGGCAGCAGAGGGGGGCCCAGGGGTGTAGGAGCCTGGGCGCACACACACCTGGAATGCCACCTGGGCCTGGTGAGTCCGCTGGGACTTGGAGTCCCGGAATCTGCCGGCAAAGAGCGGGGAACTCTGTCAGGAAAGACAGCCTCTGACCCTCCTCACTGCACCCCTGGGGCACTCAGCTCCTGGGGTGCCCTGGTCTGGCTGCCCTAGTAAATGCTCCCCCACCTTTGGGGAAGACTGTTTCCTCCACTTAAAACATAACAGGGGACCCCTTCCCTTGTCCTGGAGTCATCACCCGCCCACGGGAGAGGCTCAGTTTCCCTGCTCCAGCCCAGGGCCCTCTGCGGTTCTGCTATCTCACCTCTGCAGGAGCCAGTATCGGTCCCCACCGCACCCACGCTTCTGCTCCGCTCAACCCGAATCGTCCTTTTTCTGCACAAGTACTTACCACCTTTGAAACTGCGAAATAGCTTTTATGTATTCTATGTATTGTATGTGTACATAAAAGCTCAATAATTCCACAAGAGGAGGGTTCCTTTGCTCGTTAAGTGGAGAAAAGGGGCTTTCGGGAGACTGAGGAACTGAGCAGGGCCAATGAGGAGAGGGGAGGGCAACGCGTGGAGCCCAGGTGGCCCTGGGGCTCCCTCGGTCTGACCCACCCCATCCGCACTGCATACTCACTGCACTTTGGAGGCCAGGGTCTCAGCCCCAGCGTACTGAAGGGAGGGGGAAAGCAGTACTGGAGGAGGCTGCTCCTCCCGAGGAGGCGCACAGTTCTCTCCCGGCTCCTCAAACCCCAGCCCAGGCTCTCCTTTCAAAGGCCGGCAGCTCAGGATGGAGGCAGTGCCTGTGGGGACAACTGGGTTAGCCCTTTTTGCTCTTCCCCGGAACCACAGGCCCGGCCCGGCCTGCCTCTGCCTGCTCCACAGTACCTGCTCCCAGCTCCCCTCGGTCCAGCACCCTGCGGACGGCCGCCACATTGCTCCCGTGGTACGCCATATGCCACTTCTTGGTTAGCGTTCCACCCTCCAGGTGGGGATTCACTCTAGGAGGTGGGCAGAAGGAGCAGAGCATGTCTAGACTTCTTTCTTGGACCCTTGAGAACCTGCCCTTTTCAAGGCAGCAAAGGACAGTAAGTAAAGGGAGCGCATGGCTTCACCCACAGGTACCTGAGGTTGAACCTGCACCAGCCGAAGGGCAGGGCATACTCCCGGGGAGGCTCTCCTCGGCGTCTGTGGGCTTCATCCCCTCGAAGCTTCCGGCAAGACTCACAGTAGCAAAGGCTACGTTTGGGTAGAGGCATGAAATAATCCTCTGTGGGAGAGGGAGGGGCAGGCTTGATGCTGTGGCTCCCCAAGTGGCTCCCTGCCCTGCGGCCTCCTCCTGACTGCCCTCTAGGGCCCTGGGCAGAGTCAGGCAGGGACTGGCGACGTACCCGGAAGCAGCAGCAACTCGTGGAAGCGGGAGCAGAGGGCGTGATACTCGCAGCTCTTCAGAGGGCCAGCAGTCGGAGGCGGCCCCCAGCACACACTCTCCTTGATACCTGCGGGAGCAGAGGGCATCGGTCACAGGAGCTGGCCCTTCAGGTGTCAGGTAGGGGGGCCTGTGCATGTCGGCACCCAGTCCCTTCAAGCTGCCTCACCATCTACCACGTCAGCTTTCTCCATGTCTCCTTGGGTGCTAGCACCCTTACCACTGGTAGCCCCTGGTTCAGGGCTCACGATTGTCACCTGCAGGGAGAGGAGTGGTCAGCCCCCAGGCAGGCTGAGGCCCTTCGGTGACCCCAGCCGACCCTCTACTCTTGACAGCCCAGTCTCCCAACTGCCTCCCCGCCACCATCACCAGTTGCCACTGACCTGCTCACACTGCCCATAGAGGTCCACGAGGGCATGGCAAGGTTGGGGGACATCGGGCATGGCCACCCCTTGGTCTACCCCATTCACGTGGAGATGCAGCCCCCCAGAATTATCCAACCGCAGTCCCAGGATGGTGCCTTCAGGACAAGTGTCTAGATTTGGCCCGAACTTCTCACAGATCTGGGAGGAGAGACCTGCTGTCTACCAGAAAGTAGCCTCCACCTGCAGCCTCCCCCTCCCCCCACCCCCCTGCTCACTGCAGTGCCAGTCCTGGGTCCCGCCCCTCCCCTTCCCCCTACTGTGCCATTCCTCACAGCAGGTACAGGAGCAGGGAGTTACACACACTCCTGCCCTGCCCACCGACATCAGGCCTTGACTCCCGAGGTTCTATGTGGACAATTAAGGCTCCAGCTTCCCCCTTTTCTCCAGCCTCTTCTTTCTCTCTAGCCGCGTCCTCACCTTGAGGCCATTGTGGAAGACCCCACGGCCACGCAGCAGCCAGGCTGCCCGCTTAAGGGCACAGGCGGAGGCAGGGAAGTTGAGCCTCTCCGGTGGGCAGGTGATGACCCCCAGGATGAGAGAAGACGTCCACTGTCGATTCAGGAAATCTATGCGCACCTGCGGGAGACGACAGCTACCCCTGATCAAGGCCTTCCAGGAAGCCACCGCCCACCCAGGGACACGAGCTTCCCGCCCACCCAGAGCTAAGGTGCTTCCTCCCCTTCCCGTCGGGGGTTGATATGGTGCCTGGCAGGCCCCTCCCCTCCAGGGGCTTCCTGTCCCTAGCTGACTGACCCAGCCCTCAGCGTGCAGCAGAAAGGCCCCCTCTTCCTCCTCTGCCCCCCACGTGGATAACCTGACATGGCTTCTGGTGTCCTCCAGCCCCTCCCACAGCGTCCCACACGCTATCCCTCAGCAGACCACGGGACAGCTTTGTGGCAGCTGACTGATCTGCAGCCCCCACCGGAGGGTGTAAACCGAAGTCCCGGGAGTGCCACTTGCCTGCCACTTCTCCCTCAACCTGGAAAGGCCCTTCTTCAGGAAGGCTGGCTCTGGGTCCCCTGAAGCAAAAGGAACAGGGATACAGACGCCAGGCCCACCTGAACTAGCAGCTGGGGCACCAGGGGCTGGCTGATGACCACAATGCCCTGGTTGTAGCTGGCCACCCGTGTGGCTGTCCGGTTCCCATTGGACAGCAGGATGTTCTTCCCGTGGTTCTCCAAGAACTCCAGGGCTGAGGGCATCATGGCCACTTGCTGCTGGCCCTGCCATGGAGAAGAGATGGGGCTGCTGGGGTGGTTGAGGCTGTGCCCAGCCCACTTCCCTGGAGTTTATGCCAAGCAGGAGGAGCAGGAGCTCTGCCTGGCCAGCTGGTATCCTGGGCCAGAGGAACCACCCACCCCTGAGCCCAGCAGGCCCCACTGCAGCCTCTTACTCCCAGAACACGCTCCTCTCCCTCGTCCTCCTGCTCCTGCTCCTGCTCCTCCTCCTCCTCGCCTTCGCTGCCGGTCTCCGAGCAGGGGGAAGGAGGCTGGGTGCCTTCTGGCTCCTCCAGCCTCGTGGAGCTGACGATAGACACACTCCGTACGGGTCCATACAGATCCAGCACAACCCACACACTCTGGGGGCAGAGGGCAGAGGTCAGCACGAACCCTCACGCCACCCCCAGGCCCCAAGGAAGGTCTTCGGTTGACCTTGGCAATGCCGGTGGCTGCCGGTCCCAGGTCTTCTCCATCTACCAGGATGTGCATCGTGTCATCTGCTCCCCGACGGATGCCCACGCGGCTCCCCACCTAGGAGTCAAGGTGGAAGCAGACCCATGCTTAATCCACTCCTCTGCCCCAGCCCCAGCCCCAGCCCCGCCCTCAGCGCCGGCTGCTTCACCCCGAGCCTCTCAAGGTTCCGGCCATAGTTCATCCTCTGGAGCTGCCCGTCACGCCTCACTTCACAGCTGGACACCATCCAGGTGGTCTTAGTCCGGAGCTCTGGCAGGGAGGGAGGCAGGCCTGGGCCGCCTCCTATGCTGGGCCCCATCTCCCCTGGAGGCATCGTGGTCAACCCCAGCCGGAGGGAACCTGCCCACTTCTCATCCAGCTCTTCCACTTTGACCTGTAAGAGAGGGGCCACTGTAGGCCACACTAGCCGGGGGCCAAAGGCCAAGAGCAGTCTGAGCCACAGCTCACCTCAAAGACTTCTTCAGCCTTGAGTTCCTTAGTGCTGAAGACAAGGCCGTGGGCATAGCCAGCTGCACGCACTGCCCTCGTGCCCTCCTCCTCCAGGGTGACGTTCTTGCCACAAGTGCTATGGAAGCGGTGGGCCACGCCAGCCACTATGGAAAGAGGGCACCAGAGGAAGGGGGATGAGTGAGCCAGCAAGTCTCAAGGACGACACTGGCACAAGGTTTCAGGTGAGACAGGAGGTGCGCCTGCCATTATCCTCCAGGACCTCCGGATGGCACTCAGTCAGAATTAGACTTATTCCCTAACCTAGTATGCCCAAGTTATGGGTTAAACGGTCCCCAAGAAATAGGGAGTTGTGCATTGTAAAGCTCAGCTGTAAGCCTTGGGTTATAATCTACATCTAGGACCGGGCTCTCTCTGTTGCGTTAATGAGACAGGTTTTGTGCCTTGAATCCATTTCTTTTGAGAAGATACATTCAACAGGCACGCAGAGAAGCAAGGGTGAGGAAGACTGAGACTACCCAGAAGTAGCAGCTCCAAAGAGACAAGGACCTTCCTCGAGATGAGTGACAGACACACAGCCCTCCTCCCAGAGCCTGGCCACGGAAGTCAGTCTTCTAGACTCCTAAACGGTAACAAAATAAACGTCTGGTTGTGGGTAGTGGAGTAGTCAAGGTAAGATCGCCTTGAGGGATGGCGAAGGCAGTTCCTGGTGAGGGCTCGGCAGGACGTTAGCAGAGCCCTAGGGAAAATCTCCATCATCCTAGAGAAGATGCCAGGGACCAGCAACATTTCTAGAAACGTGGATGCTCAGTGTCCTCAGATGAGGTTTTAAAACAGTGGTTCTCAACCTGTGGGTCACGACCCCTTAGGGGGCTGAACCACCCTGTCACAGGGGTTGCCCAATTCATAACAGTAGCAAAATTACAATGATGTAGCAGCAACAAAAATAATTTTGTGGTTGGGAGGGCTCACCACAACATGAACTGTATTAAAGGGTCGCGGCGTTAGGAAGGCTGAGAACCACTGCTTTCAGAGGAAACAGGGAGTGCGTGATTGTATGACAGAACACGAGTGGCCAAGAGCTTGTCCAAGCTAGGTCCAAACTTTTGATGGAGAGTAGAATTTAGCAGACATGAACTTGGATATCTGACTGATGAGATATCGAAGCAGGACCTTAAAAGGCTTCCAGTAAAATGGGAGATGAGGTAGACTTAAAAATGAACCCTGATGGGGGAGGGGAAGTGAGGAGCTGATACCAAGGGCTCGAGTAGAAAGCAAATGTTTTGAGAATGATGAGGGCAGCAAATGTACAAATGTGCTTGACACAATGGATGGATGGATTGTGATAAGAGTTGTACGAGCCCCCAATAATATGATTTTTTTTAAAAAACGAACCATGTAAACTGCAAACACAAAAGGCCTCACGAGATTTGGAGAACTCTGCTGAAGCGCTAAGGGCACCTGTCCTAGAATGTTCACCGGGGACATGGCTCTACAGTCTTTGTGGTGAGAGGATCTCCCCAACCACCACAGAAGCACCCCGTCAGCTCAGACTGACAGGGACACAAAGAAGTCAGGACAGAACAAAGCTGCCTGCCTCTGCGGATTTGACGGGCAAAACACTGATCCGAGGAGCTGCGTCTCATGTCCTCTAAGAAAATCACAAGCTACCAGCAGCCTGGAGCTCGGCGGAACTCAAAGGGTGGGGCATGGCTGAACAGAGTCCGATCTGCCCAGCGGGGTGGGCCATGCCCAAGTCTACACAAGGAGGAAGGGTCTGCTGGAACCAAGAAGGGTCCCCATTCAAATGGAGCAACAGGGCAAACCAAAGTTCAGATAGGAGCAGAGCTGCTATCCCAGTAGGCCTGGAAGGTGGAAGTTGAAAATGGGGGGGGGGGTTTCCCCTGAGAATCCAGTGGGCAGGACCACTGCCCAAATGGGCCCAGAGACTATTCTGGAGCTCATGTGAATCGTTCTGCTGGGTTTTGCACTTGCCTGCTGTCTACTACTTCTTCTTTCTCTCCAATGTCTCCCTCATGTGCCTGTCCCACCACTGTACTTGGGAAACTGATCGTTCACCAGCTGGATTTCACAGGATGGAGTATGCCTGAAGTCTTACCCATAGTGGATTCAGGGGATTCGAAATACAAGATTTTTAACTTGGAGTTGGTTTAAGAGTTTGGGCACGATGTGATGAGGTGAACATGCGTGTATCGAAGGGAGGGGGAAGGGCAGAATGTCAGAGGTGTCAATGTGCTCCCACCCCTTCCAAATGTTACCAATCCTAACCTCTGTCTGTGGTGCTACTCCCATCTGGGAATGGGCTATCTCTGTCACGCTCAGAAGACAGGCTTAGTTTAGATTGGGTTTAGATGTGGAGGTGTAAGAGAAATGAAAATGGCACATAGAAACAGAGATGGGAGAAGAGACATGCCAAGCTACATGAAGGCTGCCCAGGAACTGGATCTCCAAAGAGACAGACCCTTTCCCTAGAGTCGATGGAGAGAAAGCGTTCCCCTAAAGCTGGCACCCTGCACTGGGGCTTCTAGTCTCCCAAACTATGAAAACATAAACGTGTTAAGGCCGATCACGTGTGGTATTGTTTACAGCCACAGAACAAGGACACCCAGCTTATGTGGTCCTGGCCCCTTGGAGGCAGGTAAACCACCAGGTGCGGGTACCAGGCATTAACTGGTTCCCACCCTGGGTCGTTCCTTCTCATGAGCCAGCCTGCCTTGGGAGTTTCCCAGCCTGGATGCACAGCAGCCTGGGTCCCACAGTAGACAAATGCAGCCAGCCCGCCCTCCCTCCCTCCCTCTCTCCCTCCCTCCCGGCAGGACCTGGGGAGTGCAGGGGGAATGACTTCTCCGTGGCCGTGTTGCTGGTCGCCAGGCTGTTGTCCAGGGGGCCAGTGGCACTGGTGATGGACACTTGGACACACTGACCATACAGATCCACTACCGCGTACACCTCTGGGTGGGAAAAGGGGGTCAGAAGCCCAATAGCCTGGGGTGAGGTGGGCTGAGGAGACGGGCGAGCTGAAAGCCACGGAGTAGTCACCTTTACCCGGAGGCAAGCCTGAGCAGGCGGCACCCTGGTCCTGGCCATTGATGAAGTAGTGCAGATCCCCTTTGGCAGTGCGCATCATGCCGATGCGGGCGCCTGTGCCCAGCGCATCCAGGTCACAGCCGTAGTTGTTGCGCATCGTGTTACCGTCTTGCATGATGGCTGTGCCACTAGAGGGTGGCAAAGGGGGGGGGGGGTCAGTAAAGGGGGAGGGGTGGTATCAGCCTCCCAGCTTCATCCACACACAGGCTTCAGTCCACGCTCCTCCTGTCACAACCTTCCAGGGCATTGATCTGGGTTTGAAGCCCAATCCTATCTCCTCCATCCATGAACTCCCCACAAGGAATACCAAGAACTACCCTACAGGGAAGGAGGGTGTAGCCCCTATGGGACTGAGAGACTTAAGCAGAACAGAAGGGAGGGAACAGCTAGAGCCCTAGTGGGCACCAGAGGCCCCGAGCTCTGTCTCCCTCATGACACACCTCTCTGCCCAGCCCAGCCATGCCCCGACGCAGGCCGCCCAACCTCAGCATCCAGGTGTCATAGTCAATGTCCGTCATGGTGTTGGGGAACTCAAGGTCTTCAGGTCGAATCGCAGTCACTCCTAGGTGGAGGCAGGAGCAGGTCAGGGCTGGTTCCGCAGCCACAAGTGGCCGGCTCCCCCGCCCCCGACCTCCCCACCCCCACCCAATGCTCACACAGACACGGCCCTCACCAGCCTCAATGGAGCCTGACCAGCGGTCCACCATCTTCTGAATGACGATTTCAAACAGCTCTCCATCCCGCAGGGCCCTGCCAGGTAAGGGGCAATTAGAGGGGCCCGGGTAGCTGAGGCAGGCCAGCGGAGCGGTAATGAAGGCCGGGCACAGACCGGTTGGAAATGACGATGGCATCGTTGAACTCGCTGCGGCAGTTGTGGCGAAGTGCTGTGCGGCCCCCGTTCGTGATGACGGCATTACTGCCGTGCAGCTGGTGAAAGCGCAAGTCGGAGCCCCCGGCCCCAGATGACGGGGAGCTGGGAGACACCTGGTTGTTGCCCTCAGGGAGTGGCTCGGGGACTGGGGGCACTTCTGCAAGAGTGCACATTACCCATTAGGGGTCCAGATGTTGCCAAGGCCCTCCAAGTGCCCCCTTCCGCCACCCCACCCCCCACCCCCGTGCCCTGCCCCCTTCTAGCCCTCACCCATGTCGTCCACAATGGTGGCCTGGGCCGCCTGGCCGTAGAGATCAACGACAGCGTAGACGCCCGGGGGCACATTCCAGGCAGCAGGGCCCTGGGTCATCCCATTGACAAAGAAGTGGAGGGTCCCGTCCTCCCGCCGCACCACGCCCACCGTGTCCCCTGCCTTGGAAGAAGGGGGGGCTGGAGTGAGGAGTCAGGCAGAGTCCCGGCCTGGGTTAGTCCTGCACCAGCCCCTTTTTGCCTACTGCCCCCAGGGCTGCCATCAGGCACTGCCCCCATGTGCCCACCTTGAGGCGGTCCAGGTTGTGCCCGTACTCGTCCAAGATGGTGGTGCCATTGTGCATTACTCCATTCCCAGTCATCATCCAGGTTCCTGCGGGAGGAGGAGGGGCAGGCGGAGAAGGCAGGGCTGTGCCTCCAGCGACCAGTCCCCAGCGCACCGCCCCAAGCCCAGCGGGTCCAGCCTGCCTTTTACCTAACTGCTGCCTTTCTCATCTGAGCAGAGCACCCCAGTCAGTCACAGGCCCTGTCCACAGGGTCTTCTCCAGCCACTGAGCCCCCGCCGGCGGGGTAAGTGAACAGGAGAACAGTGCCAGGCAGGCCTACGGGGCAGCTTCCTCCCTGGGGCCCCAGTCTGGCCCTGTCCTTCTTGGGAGCTCACCAGAGCGCAGGTTGGTCATGGTGGAGGGCAGTTGGAGGTAGGCAGGGTTGTGGGTGGTGACGCCAATCTCGATAGAGCCAGCCCACTTGTCCACCATCTTGTCGATGCGCACCTGGAACACCTCTCCGTCCCGCAGGGCCCTGCTGCTCAGCACCACGCCGTGATTGAAGTCGTCAGTGGCACTGAGGGAGGAGAAAACGGGCGCTCAGATTCTCCCCCAGTGCCCCCCTCCCCCCAGCCCCAACTCAGGGCACGTCAGAGCGTTATCCAGTGAGGCCTGCTTACTCCCAGTGCCCGTGCCCGGAGTCAACCAGCTCAACTGCCCCGCTCCCCGACGGAGGTCCCCCTTTTCTGTGGAGGCCATCCACATGCCCCTCTGCCCGCCTCCCTCCCCCCCTCCCCTGCCCTTAGAGCCCCTTCTGCAAGCTTCTCCCCACCCCATGGGCCATACTGGGGCCTCAGGGCAGTGCGTCCCTCGTGGGTGATGGCTGCCTTCTGCCCACAGTTGGGGTGGAAGAGCAGGCGCTCAGGTTCTGCCTGGGCAGCAGGAGCAGCGCGGCGGAGGGCACCCTCAGGGGACAGTGCCCGCAGGATGGCATTGTTCCGGCGCAGACGGTCGCTGTGGTTGTTATTGTGGACGATGGTCACCTTCACTGCCATCCCATACAAGTCCACCACGCCGTATACCACCGGGGGTGTCAGTGGGGTAGCCACGCCTGTGGGGGCAGAAAGCATCGGGATGGAGAGGTGAGAGGGGCAGGGGGCGAGACAGGAGGAAGGGCCATGTATAGGCCCACCCACCCGACTCCCCAAAGCCCGGAGCTTCCCCTTACCCTGATCGATGCCGTTTATGAAAAAGTGGAGGGCAGAGTTGGACTTCCTTGTGAGGCCAATGTGGTCACCCTCCTGTTCAAAGCAGGAAAAGAATTGGGTCCAGAATCCATCCATCGTCAGGCTGTGGCCTTGCCCTGGGGACCACGAGTGGAGTGGTCCTGGGGTTTTCCCACCGCCCCAGGCCACAGGGAAACGATTCCAAAGGTGTTCAGAGGCTCAACCACTTGGAACCTCGGCAGGGGAGGCAAGCGGCCTCCACTTCACACGCACTGGATGTTCCACGCGCTGCCCCAGGCATGTGTTAATCCAGCTGACAAGCACCTCCCACGACAGCCTCATCTCTACGGTGAGCACTCTGTGGAACCTGTGAGAGCTGGGCACTCAACAGGCCGGCCGGCCTGGGGTTCCAGCCCCTGTGAGTTCCCCTTCTCTGGCCTTACAAAAAAAAACCAAGCCAGAACTCAGTCACCCAAGAGGGTAGTTGCTTGTTTCAGGCCAGCCCCTGCCAGGGTTCTTACAGCAAGAAGAACTGAAGCCCGCCGACACCGGAATGCAAGCCCCGACTGCTGCACAGCCTGCCGCCTCACGAGAAGGGGACGTGCGCTAGGTCACAGGGGCTGTTAGCTCGACTCACAGCGACCCTATGGGAGAGGGCAGAACTGCCCCTGTGCATTTCCGGACTGTCGCTCTTTACAAGAGTAGAAAGCATGTCTTTCTCCTTCGGCCCTTGCAGCTTGCAGCCCAATTCCCAGCTGCTATGCCCCTGGGCTCCTCTAAGAAGCTAAAACAGTAAGTGCTGGTGGCACCCTGGAAAGAGGCCGGAAGCTCGGAGCCCCCCCTTACCTGCAGCTCATCCAGGCTGAATTCACAGTACTCCCGGCGGGTACCCTTGCCGTTGGTCAGGATCCCACAGCCACTCATCATGATGGTGCCTGGGCAAAGGGGGAGCCCTGCGTGAGGTTCCTTCCCTGCAGCCACCCCACGCCACTCCCACCCGTCTAGGGGTGGTACCTGACTGCAGGTTGGTCATGGTGGCTGGGTAGTCCAAACTGTTGGGATTGTGGGTGGTGACACCAATCTCAATGGAGCCTGACCACTTGTCTACCAGCTTGTCGATGCGGATCTGGAGAGGAGAGAGGGGGCAGAGAATGTACACACGGAGAGCTTCCTCAGCTTCTGGATCTTCCTTAGGCTCCACCCTCCCAACATCAAGGAGAGGGCGCCCCACCTTTTGCTGAGTGAGTGAGGAGCTGATCAAACTCCAGCACTGAATGTACCTCAAACATCTCATTGTCCCGAAGGGGGCGGTTGGTCATGACCACCCCATTGTTGAATTCGTCCAGAGGCCGGCGCCGCTCGGCCGTTTTGTTGTTGTTGCTGAGTTTGATGAGGGTCCCACACTTCTCGTGGAAGAGCAGGGCATCGTTGGAAGTAAGGATGGGTGAGGTGGCAGCGCAGCTGGCCCCGGGCCCTTCCCCTGCTGGTGGGGAGCTCAGGCTCACATTCAGGAGCCCCCCATTGTAGGCGGACAGGATGGCGTTGCTCACCACATCGGAGAGCTCCATGCTGGAAAAGTCTATGGGATGGAGGGAGGAAGGAAGGAACGAAGGAAGCAGAAAGGTGGCTCGATCCTGTCGGGATTGGCAGGCTCCCTCCCAAGCTGTCCCCGAGGCCTCACCTTGTCACCTCACTTCCCACTCCCATCCTGGGGGCCTCCCCAAGCCCTCACCATTATGCGACTCAAGGCTGTGAGGAAGCATCTCTGGCCGGGCCTGCACTGAAGGGGACACCATGAAGGCTGAGGACCAGAGCAGGAATGAGGGTTCAGCCCTTGCTACAGGGCCCACAGCCAGGAGACCCCCCTCTTGTAGCCCGTTTCCCACTTCAATGACCTAGGAAGTGTGAGCAGCCCAGCCCATGCCCAGCCTCATCTGTCAGTGCATCTCCCCAATTCCGCCAGCCATTCCCTCTGCCCCAGCTGTGTTCTCACCTTCATCTGCAGGGACCCCCTGCTCAGCCAAAGCAGAATCTTCAGGGGGTGCGGAGGGCTCAAGGGGAGGCGTGGGGATGGGAGGAGGAGGGCTGAAGCCTGGCTCAGAGGGGAGCACGGTGATCTGGGTGCACTTGCCATAAAGGTCCACGACGGCCCAGACTCGCGCGGGCAGGCCCGTGGCGGCCACGCCGCAATCTCGTCCATTCACCCAGAGCCGCAGCTCACCAGCTGCTGTGCGCTCTACGCCCACACGGTCCCCTTCGCCAAGCTGGTCCAGGTCCTGCCCGTACTCCTCGAGCACCGAGCGTCCATCCCGTAGCACTGAGCAGCCCGACACTACCCATGAGCCCCCCTTCAGTCCTGTAGCACTGCTTGGGAAGTCCAGGACACTGGGGTCCAGCGCCGTCACCCCAATCTCAATGGAGCCACTCCAGGAATTGACCTGTGATTGAGTAAGGAGAGTGAGTAGGAAGCTACATTCCCAGGGTCCCTATATCCTCCTCTTTCCAGCTTTGAGACGACAAACTCAGTCTCCCTGAGACGCTAATTCCAAGCCATCGCCTCATACAAAAGTCCTTTTCCAGCCTGTCTCCAAACTGTTGGGCTGCTTCCTCTAAGCGACCCACCTCTGTCCTAGCTCTCTCCACACTGCTCCTTTCCCCGGAGGGCTGGTGGAATCCCCAGACTTCAGGTCCTCTAACTTCCTGGGACTGTGTCCCCTGAACCACCCAAAAGCACACAGCAGGATTCTCCCCCAGGCTCATGGTCAGCCCTCTATTCATTCTCCCAGATTCTGTGTCTGTGAGGCAGGTCTCTTTGCTAAATCAATCAACCAACCAAACACACACCACCACCACCACCACCACCACCACCCCTCCCTGAGCAGTGCCTCCCAACCATCTTACAAGCCCTCTTCTTGGGATTGTCCTTTCCTTGGTATCTATCTTCTCCCACCACATCTGGGACATTTTCCCATCCTTGGCACCCAAGAAATGCTCCCGTTTGGCCTGCTCCCCAGTCATTCTACGGATGAGCCCGTGTCTTGTGGGTCTTTCTCCTGAGGAGCCAACGCTTTGGATCCTTGGCTGCCCATCATCTGGTGTCTTACGCTCCGTTGGTTTGCTGTCGGAACCCGGATGCGGGCTCCGCCGGCTGCCCCAGCCCAGGTTCCTCTGGTCTCCTCCCACCGCTCAGCATCTCAGTCCCACGGCTCCTGGCTCCGCACCTTGCGGTCGATGCGAACCGTAAAGACGCGTCCATCGCGCAAGGGCTCCCGGCTCAACACCAGCCCGTGGTTAAACTCCTGGCCCGGCTGCTGCCGCCGCGCTGTACGCCCACAGGCCGACAGGCTCACCAGGCGCCCGGTGCGCGGGTGCAGCTCCCCACCGCTGCCGAGACTCCCCGCGGGCCCTGC